ATTGAACCTGCATCTCTAATGCTGCATTAATTTATTGTAATCATAATTGAGCAATTTTTACTTTTTTTTCTTCGTACTCTACAGACCGCAGAAAATTGTCAGTCCACTCCCAGCCGTTCGCCTTCCCCTATACCACGCAGTTACTCCCGGGTGTTGTCAAATCGACTCACTAGAACTTCGCGAACTCTCACCAGTGATTTTGGACCAGCCTCCTCTAGCAGTGATCGACACCACATAATTCACCAACCTCAATCCTCTATGCACCCTTCCGATAACCATATCGATACCAACATCGTCAGGCGTTCGAGCTCTCGTAGACGGGTACCTTCCACTCTCTTAGCGATTGGCTGCCCCAGCATAGCAGCCCCTTTCACCTCGGGCAATAATCGAGTGGCACCCGATCGACTCTTCCGACTTCTAGACCAATTAGCCTCACGTGTCTCAGAGGCTGGTTGTGAACAGATCCTTGAATCCATTTCCGATAGCGAACTAGAGGTGCAACTGGCCGGCATGGCCAGCACTAGTAATGGAACTGAAGACTCTCACCACTCTCTTCTTGAACCATTACCCAGTATGGCTGAGTTGAGCCGTCGTGAGATTGAAGCTGAAGCGGGGCGTCAGCGTGAAATAGCTCGTCAGCTTGTCGTCGCCGAGGAAAAGCGTCGGGAAGCGGCTGAATGGCGGTTAGCGGAAGCTGCTGACGAATCTAGTCTGATGGGCCTATCTGCTCGACTTAGGCGACGTATGCAGACTGGTAAAGAAACTTGGCAATCTGATATATTTGATGGAGCCGACCCTGGTAGTGAGCCAAGTGATCTTGGAGAGCCAAGTGAAGAGGCTGAGGGCATAACAGATGATGCAGCTGATTGCTTAAAGCCCGATGGAATTGCGCTTACATCATTTTCTCTGGCTGCCGAAGCGGAGGCTGAAGATCAAATGCGATCTGCGCAGTCACTTCTCTTCAAACTAACCACAACTTCTTTGCCACCGGCACTCAGGCGCTGCCTTGGTGAACTTACTGGGACTTCTACATTTGATATTAGTCGTGGTTCAATGGTTCACAGTCTTACTACACCATGGCAAGAATTGGTGGCTTCTGTGTCGACAACCACAAGCGCTATGATTCGCGAGCTGAAGTCTGACTTTTCATCTTTTCCTATCGTGAACTCAGAATCCGGACTTATTAGAACTCCAAATGATTCTATGATTGCAGCTGGTCTCGTAAGTGACTTTTATTAACGAAAAAAATTATTTGCATTTATAAAACTGCAAGTTCTTGTCTAAAATGTACATTATACTATTATTTAAACAAAATCGCAGTTGCGGGCCGAATATTTAAATTGCCTTATACTTTCATCCTATAAGTCTTATTTAGCTTAGAGTCCGATAGTATCAACTAAATCAG